AGATGAGGACAACAGTCCGAATGTCTATAGTGTAAGTATATTAGCAGGAATCAGTTATGTGCCATGCATGATACGCGCTTAGGCGATCATGTATTTTCAGATACATGACTGACGAGGCAGATTTTTCCCGCAGTAGGTTGCCATTTCTTTCTGCGGTAGAACCCGGTCTGTCCTGCTATTTACTATATCGCTGGTGGGAAGATGATTCATACCTTTCCCAAGAGTATTAGCAAATAAGTGAATGTAATGGATCCGACTGGAATTCGAACTCGGCTCTCCGATTCCTCAATCCGAGCCGCTATCCATTACCCCACTCCATCAGTAAAACTTGATACGTTTAGCAGTGTGGGGCATATATTCACATGAAAAGAAAATCGACTCTACCTTAAACGCCTCTTGCAGATCAATCAATGGGTGTCCCAAGCCAACCAAAGTAGATGACCTCGATTTGCTTAGTGGCATTGCTCCTCCTTACAGCAGAAGAACAGTTCACTGCTAACTCGAGAAACTGACCATCGCCATCCAACCCACGTGAACCAATGACAAAGAGGCTCAAATCAAGACACAGCTTTCTACATTCAATTGAGCTCCTAGTCAGCATCTGTCTCTGGAGTGCAGACACCTTAACAACGTAGAACACAGGCTCCCTCTCTGCCCTACGGAACCACTCCCCACCCCCGTAACTCAAGTGGTCCTGCCTGAATCGCCTCAGTAACCAACAATTGTTCGGAGCCAACCTTCAGAAATAGGGATATGTCACTAATGATGGATCCCAACTGCCAATTCGGACAATTATAAACTATGGAACATCTTCTAGATTGTCCCAGTCTTGAAGATTCATGCACACTTAACGAATTTGAAACCTTAACACCCCAGGCAAGGCTCTGTGTGCAAAACTGGATCAGTTTAGTGTATCGACTCGATAAGAAGAAGAATTTATTTAACCCCTCTCTACCCGAATTTTAACATCTGACTTAACACACCACAAGTTTAACATCTTATTTACATCCAGCCCCTAATTTTAAATTCTGATTTAGACACCGTTCACGGCCTCACGGGATTTGATTGTTTATTTTTTTATGAACAGAATAAATCTGTTTGTTCTGTGGTTTCTACGCTTGGGTAGCTGCAATAGGATTGGCCCTGATCTGGCATCTCGTTTACAGTCGCTCTCTCTCTCTCTCTCTCTCTCTCTCTCTCTCTCTCTCTCTCAGACATGTCTTTTCTACAAATACTTTCATGGTAACTGCTCCAACGAGCTACTTTCGCTGTTTCCCAAACTGCATGAATTTAAACGTGCTATTAGGTTGGCATCTCAGTCTCACCCTTTCACTGTCGAAACAGTTAAATATAGCCGTTTCTACTACTTCAATAACTTCATGTCTCGCACTTACCGTCTGTGGAATTTCCTTCCTCTTACTTGCTTCCCTGATAGCTATAATCTTCAAATATTCAAATGCAATGTCAATCGACATCTTCAGATGCCTTGATCTAATTCCCCTGTCCTTCTCTTCATCCTTTCCTCTATCACGCTTCTTTACTCTTGCTTCCACTCTCTGTAACCCCCTGCGTGCTAGTGGCACCTCCGCCTTGCTTGGGGTGAAATGCTTAAAAAAAATGTCCATATTAGACAAATTTCCACGGGTATGGGATACGTGTTCAATAGTATTATTTTTATTTTGGTTTTATTGTCAATCATTAACGTACTAAATTTAATCTCAATGTACACGCTTTATCTTTTTTTTTCTGTTTTGCTTTCTTTTTTTACTGACGTATCCCATTTGAAACCCTAACTTAATCTTCTGTTTGTGACTTCATCAATTTTCACCGAGGTGTGTCCAAGCGTTTTTTTGCTTTTTTTTTTTTTTTTTTTTTTTTTTTGCGCATGTCCATAAAGGCGTTCGCACGTATATCTAGTGCGCATGTGCAATATCTTCCTTTGTTGATTTCAGCTTCGTGTCGAGAGTTGGTCATTATGAACGGGGTTGAATCTGCTCGGGCGTGAAAATGTTCGACGGAACTAGCGGCGAACACGCGTTCGTTTTTTCTCACCTAATAGCAAAATTCTCGAAAGTGCGCAAACATTTCATTCGTGATTGGAATTCTCTCGTCTGCAGATTAATTCTCTGATTATTAAAATATTTCTCGCCAAGACGCTTTAATAAAATGTTGATAGGAACACGAAACCGATATTTTGGAACCAAGAGTAAATTACACGTTCTTTATTATTAGGTAGAGTCATGAGCTATTTCCGCTTCGGGGAACCAATTGTTACAGCGAATAATTACTAATTATAGGTGACTGTTACGAATAAATTTGGAATACACTAGCAAACGACAATGTTTAAGGCAAAAGCTGTGGATTGGCAAGGAGAAATCTCCACAACCGATACCAAAAACTGAACCCCATGGAAGAAAAATAATGTGCGAGATGAAACATTAAATGCACATTTATACATCCAGCAGTAGCAACATGTCCATAAATGTTTGAACGAAAAGTGTTCTGAGCTCGTAAATTGTTGTGGAGTATTTTCACAGTGGAGGCTTGTATTTCTAATAAGTCGTCCTAAATTAGGCCCGACGTACAAAACGTTAGGAACTTGGAAAATAAGAGTCAATGACACAGCAAATCTAGGTGTGATGGTTGGTACTTCCAATGTCCGAATCTCGACTGACGCGCTCAACACCGTTCTGCCAGACTTGCCACTGCTACTCCTACTTATTATCTCTGGGAGAGTCCATTACAATAGAATAGTTACCTAACATAAATAGAAAATAGGTTACTCTCCTACATGACAACCCAAGACTGCAGACAGCAAGAAAAACGCAAGAAGAAATTTGGTTGGTCTGTTTTACACACATCCACCATATTCACCTGATCTTGTATTAACTGACTGTTAGCTTTCTGGATCGCTACAAAACGCATGAATCGATTGGGGATAGGGGGGCTTCTCATAAGGAAACCAGATTCAAGAGTTTGGTGAACACTTTTTCACCAACAAAACCAGCTGATTTATTTTTATTTTTTTCAAAAGGTATCGAAGAGCTCCCTCATAAGTAGCAACACTTCATTGCAAATAATGGTGAATATACGAGGTCCAATCAAAAAGTAGCGGGACTGTCGCTATGGTAGCATAGCTAAAGTACGTAAAGTAAAGCTGCTTGACACAGATTTACTTTGAACTCTGCTGCGTATCCACACTCAGTTATAACATTATCGCTCGCTTCTCTTTTTTTTTTTTTTTTGGGGGGGGTTCAGTTCTTGTAAGGAAAGTGTGTGTGTGTTGTCATCTCATACACGCCATCAGTGACCACGGCTTGTGCAGCAGTTTTGGCTTAGAACAACATTCCCCGGGTCAGACAACCACCATATTCCTCAGATTTCGCTCCGTGTGACTTTTCATCTTAAAAAAACAAACAATTCCCACTTGTAAGGGACAAGATTTGAAGACGTCGAGGAAAAAACCCAGTGCATGCGAAAAGCATCTGCTTACTATCCCAACAAATGCACTACCAGGAATGCTTCCATCAATAGAAACGGTGCTGGATAACGTGTCTGGCTTCAGAAGGGTATTACTTCGAAGGAGATTAAATGTGTTGTAGTTTTCTTTCCATAACACCAACTTCATTACTTTTGAATCAGACCTTATATAATTTAATAGGATTTAATGAAATACAATCTTATTTTTTCAAGAATAAAATTGACACGAAAAAACGGAAAATTATTTATGACCGAATGTAATAATTTCATGATTCGGACCAATAAAATTGGTTCTTTATTTTCTGATTTCTTCAGTTCGGTTGTAGAATGAAACGACCTATCTATAGCTATAAAAAAAAAAGCGACAAAAACTAGCTAAGAAAAAAAATAATAAAAGTTTTTCCAGCGCATTACTAGAATGGCAATTAGGTCTCACTGCGTTACTGTTGAACTAGCTAGATTTAGCCGCCTGCGGAAATCTCTTCCCCTTTCTTGCTACCCCGCCACCTACAATATTCAAAAATTTAAACACAATACCAATCATTATTTTCTATCTTTCTTTCTCCTCACTAAAGTGTTCTCATTCTCTTTCACACCAAGTACCCCCCCCTTGCGTCTTAGCGGCTTTATCGCCTTGCTTCGGATGAAATTATTTTTTTAAAACCCCGTCAAAGAAATGCGAAAATTTTTTTAAAATCTTCTATTTACATTATTTGCCTTCGAACTAATATCTTCATATTTGTTACTATTATTACAATGTTTCGGCCTTCTTCAGCTGTCCCTTGATCCAGGAAACAGGGAATTTCGAATTAGATCCTTTATTTAATCTACAAATGTATACTGTTCTCGTTCCCATCGTCCATGTCCGAAACGTTGTGATAATAACAAGAATGAGGACATTCGTCTGAATATATATAAGATAGATAATAGTAACTCCTCCTCCCAAAAACATGATTGATTGAGTGATTGTTTGATTTGTTTAATGGTATATCAACTCTATATGGGTCATTTAATGATGATTATTTAATTTTCTTGGCAGCTTGAAAGTAATAAAAACACGATATATAAATCATTCTGCTTTCACAATGGAATACATGGTAGATGATACTCAGCTTTTGTGCATGTTTGCGTGATTACAAAAGCCGGTAATAAGTGTTTTAAGTTGTAGTATTTTTCTCTTTTTTTTTCTTTTTTTTTTTTAAAGTTATATTTTGGAATTGTTATACACCGTACTTTTGAACACTAATCGGTATGTCCGAATCCTCATAAATACGCTGGACACTATTGTAAGTGAGGTGGGAGTAATATGCTGTCTAAGCTGGCAGCGTGTGAAGCTCTTGCCGTGCCGAACTTTCTACCTTTGGGCAGAGAGGAACCCGGACAAGGCTATGCGTATCCCAGGTCAGGGTGAACTTGGGAACAACAGCAGTTAAGCAGTTAAGAAGTGGTTCCACGCTCATCAAAAACTCCAATCTTTCGATTGGAGGCTTTGCTCCTAGATGTGGTTTATCGTTATACTCAGGACGAACTGGTTCCCGTACCATCACCGAAGTTAAGCAATGTCGAGCCTGGTTAGTACCTTGACTAGTGACCGCTTGGGTATATCAGGTGCTGTAAGCTTGAATGTGAAGTTGGTGTAATGGATAATGGCTCGGAATTGGAAATTGAAGAGCCAAGTTCCAACTTCAGTTAGGTTCGTTATATTCACATACGTGCAAATATCGTTAGGAAATTCCGTCCAGTTATGAGTTAATTAGTAAGACTTGTACCACTAAACCGTTATTATCGCCAAAAAATTCTAATATTTTTTTTTTTTTAATTAACCTGAAAAGGGTCGATAAGCCGTAGAAAACGGATCAATCAATAAAAAACAAAAGATAGAAGATGGAACAATTTTTAATTATTTTGAAAATTAATACCAGTAATGATTATAGGCAAATCACGCCGCTCAGCTCAATAGCATTGTGTTGAGCTATATTATTTGAACCCAATCTATGAAAATAGATTATAAAGACAAAATTAGTCTTCTGTTTAGTTTTCAGTTCCAGTAACAAGTGAGGGAAGGCGTGCCATCTGCACCCACATAGCACCGTGAATTCACAAAATGTAAAAAGAAAACATGGCGTTAAGGAAACAAAATGTTAGTACAGTGTAACCCGGATATAAGAGAAACCCGGATATGAGAGAGATTTTCTCTGGTCCCAAATTGGAGCCTGTGTTAATGTATATAAAATAGACCAAACCCGGATATAAGAGAAACCTGGATATAAGAGACTTCTCCGGTCCCGACAACTCTCTTATATCCGGGTTACACTGTACTATTATCGAACATACTTAGTTTAAGGGTAGACTACTTCTGAATAACTCAATTCTCCGGTCCCGACAACTCTCTTATATCCGGGTTACACTGTAATATAATATAACTATATAAATAAATTTGAATATTTGCTGACTCACTTCTCTTGGTATTAGATATCACCTCTTACTCGGTTGGACTCAGCGGGAAGTTGCGAGAGGTGACGAGAGAAGAGGCTATAACTTTAACCAGAAACTTGGTCTAAATGGATATCAAACAAGATCGTCAGAAGCTCGTACATCGAGCGGCTTTGTTATGCGATGCACATCTGTGCCTGGGACACCTAGGCGTGGTGTAATGGTTAGCAAGCTTGTCTCACTAGAACAATTACAACTGAGTAGTGAGTCCGATCCTCAATGAATGCCCCATACTTTTGGCCTTGTGCCACATCTAAGCTACGCTTAGAAAATCAATACACATCTGTGCTTGTGTGCCATTCATTTTCCCTCGCAACTATGTACTGTGGACAAGTGTCAGAGTTTTACTGACCCTAACCCCAACGGTGTTAGCGTTGCGTCAAATCGACCTATAGTGACCACCTTATTCGATAAACTCATTGGACATAACAGTTGCTTAATCAGTAAGATGACGAAAAGGACCTCCAATCTGTTGTTGACAGAGGCAGGAAATAGACGTTTTTGCCTCAAAAACACAACGGCTCTCTTTAACCTACCACAGAGAACCGTCCCTGCCTCCCATTAGAATGTCTGATGTTCAACTCAACGAGAGCACCTCTCTGCGACTGCTTGGTCTCACACTGTCCACTGACCTGAGATGGAACAAATACATTGAATCAAGAGGTTCGTCTACCGCAAGGAAAATTGATTCTCTGTGTCACGCCAGAAAGTTTTCTCGCCCGAGTCCATCTTTCAAATCTATAAATCAACCATTCGCTCTTTCATGGAATACAGCTGCCATATATGGTTTGGAGTCACCCCTGTTCGTCTCAAGGTCGTCGACCAAATCCAGAAACGGATATGCAATGTGATTGACTCTGATTTGGCATCTCGTTTACAGTCACTCTCTCACAGACGTGTCGCCGCTTCCCTCTGTCTTTTCTACAAATACTTTCACGGTAACTGCTCCTACGAGCTACTTTCGCTGGTTCCCAAACTGCATTAATTTAAACGTGCTACTATGTTGGCATCTCAATCCCACCCCTTCACTGTCGAAACGGTTAAATGTAGCTGTCTCTTCTATTCCAATAGCTTTATGTCTCACACTTCCTGTCTGCGGAACTCCCTTCCTCTTACTTGCTTACCTGATAGCTATAATCTCCAAATATTCAATTGAAATATCAATCGACATGTTCGGATGTCTTCATCTGATTCACCGTCTTTCTCTTCATCCTTTCCTCCATCACGTCTCTTTACTCTCGCAAACACTCTCTGTAACCCCTTGCGTACTAGTGGCACTCCCGCCTTGCTTGGGGTGAAATGCTTAAAAAAAAGTTCATATTAGACAAACTTCCACGGGTATGGGACGCATGTTCAATGGTATTATATTTATTCTGGTTTTATTGTCAATCAATTATTAACTTTGATTTTCGGCTAGTATTTACTGTCATATTAATGTTCAGTTACAGTTTATCACAACTTTGGCCTGACTACCGTTTACCGGACATCCGGTCCAGGAGAAAGAAAATGACTTGAATAAAATAGTTTACTAAATTGAATTGATACACACACACATACATAACTGATAAGTACACCTCAATGTGGTTTATTGGTTAGCAAGTTTGTCAAATTAGAACAATTACGGCTGTATAAGAAGATTCTCACTGAGTGTTGCATACTTTAGGGTTTGTTCTACATCTGAGATATGCGTAGGAACAACCATACAGTACTGATAATTATGGTGGTGAAGAATGAATTTAAAGAAAGACTGAGAATAAGAAATACAATTTAAATAAGATAACCTCGCTTACTACTGTACTAGATCCGCCATCAATAAGCAATTATGGTAATATTAGCCATCTCCATACGATGAAAAAAATTGGTATTCATTGACCGAGCAGCCAATACTACCGTCGATTGAAATTTATAAAATCTTTCACTTAAAACAATTTTTCCAGTAAAACTCATTTCCCAAATCCAATAGCTGCTATCGCTTTTTCCAGTATTGATGGGGGTTTCCTTCCTAACCTTTTTTTTTTTTGAAGTAGGGTAGAATGTCTACATCTTAGTTATGTCATTATTTTCTCTTTCAGTTACGTGTGCTATCCATTTTAGTTGTTTCTGCTGTTGAAAGTCTTCAAGTGATGCGGTTTCTGTTATTTGGTACATATTTTTGTTCGTGATTCAGTGGCGCCTTTGCCAAGAGCCTCCAGCTTCACTCGCCCGAAGCCATTTTTAACCATTGATCTTATAAAGCCGTTATATATGGCTGACAGTTTAGATATTTCTGAACAGGTTTGGCGCCATGACATTCATATGAACGTCAAGATCTGACGAGGCTATTATAAGAACATGACTCGGATTTTCAGGTTAATGTTTTGTTGCAATTTGCGGTGTTGGGCGAAACGACCTTTGGTGCAGTTTAATCTATGTTCAATTTTCTTCTCTCCTATATTAAATTTATTATAACTGATCCACGCGCTGATGTATTTGAAGCGTTTAGTTTTTACTAATTCTACATATTAAATTTTATGATGGATTCAGAGTAGGTGACGTCACTGCTTTTATTCCAGTTCCGGATCATAGTTTCTACATTGAAAAGGTTTGGGTCCTATTTCTTGGAAATCATAGTATAGTTATAATCAAACTCTTTATATAATAATCGGTAGATAAAGTGATCAAAATAGTTCAATTATGGCGGTTTGATTATTCAATGAGGTTTGAGATGTACTCATTCAAATACTGTGATGATAGTGCATCAGTATTTTAGTCAATTAGGATAATTCCATTTAGTCATTGCTATTCAAATTGTCTTGCTTCACGGCCATATGCCCGATAAACAACAGTCAAACCATAACCTTTACTCGAGCCGACAATCTACGACAGTATGCAGGCAACGCAAGAGCTTAAATAAAGTATAAGTGTGTACATACGCCAGACAGTTTTCCACTGATTGGTCAGCTTCCGCCCCACGCCGCGGTTCGATTCCCGTTAGTGTCGGTGTGGACCTAAAACTGGGAAAGGCCCTGTAAACGTTCAGTAAAAGAGCAGAAGGTAAAACATCGCCACAGTGAGAAGAAAAAAAAACACACACTAATCTTGTTTTCAATATAATGAGTCCTTTATTCATAGATTAACCTGGCACTGTCTGGGGGCAGATAAGTGATACTTCGGTCGTCTCCGCTGTTACTTCTGATTTCTCTCACGACAGACTAACGGACCAGATTTACCCATTCGGTCAGCGAGAATTCAGACTGCTCCACTGTCCTTCTCTGATTGCGACTATCACTCTCACTGGACCTCTCTACATCTCGACGTACGGCTTGTGACTCGCCATTCTATAATGTAGCTTGATTATATAAGCCCATGACCGGAATTCCCTATATTCCACTCAAGTGTCACTCGATCACGAAAGTTTTGATTTATTTACACATTTTGTTGCTTTTCCCACTACTTAGGAACGTTGGTTGCTTTTAAGCTATCACATCTCGATTTTATTGGTGATGCAGTCGGTAATCATAAAATGCCAGTTACTTCTGGCTCAGATGAAATTATTTACAGTCGACTTGACTACATGAGGATTCTAACCAATAGACAATCACGGCCCATTTTGCTCTCAGTGAGGTTTGAACTTACTTCTCCTTGGCCTTAAAAAATATACCAGCTACTTTAACCGCTTTAAGAGAAGAAGAGAAAGACAGACACGGTGAAAAAGAGAGAGAAAGAGAAAAAGAACAGACAAAAGAGAGAGAGAGAAGAAGAAGCTAAATAAAAGAAAAAGAAAGAAACAGACAGGAAAAGAGAGAGAAAAGATAGAGACAGACAGGGGGAGAAAAAGATAGACAGGAAGAGAAAAGGAGAGAGACTAGAATATAGAGAGAGAGAGAGAAAGGGAGATAATGAGAGCCATACAAGTAGGGAGTAAAAGAAAAAGAGATAAATAGACAGAAGAAAGACGGAAAACCAGACAGTAACAGATAAAGAAAAAAAAAAGAATGCGACAGACAGAAATGTAAAGAAAATAGAGAAAGACAAAGAGAAAGAAGAGGGCAGATAAACAAGTATAGGGAAGAAGAAAGAAAATGAAAAAAAAAAGTGTGAGATAGACAGGTAGGAAGAACGAAATCAAACTAAGAGAAAAACAGG